TTTATACGAAAATTAATTAAATTAAAATTATAGATTAAATTATATATATTATAAATTTCAAAAAATAAATATGTAGACATTTGATCTCATCATTGGAATCAATTTTTTCATATTTTTGCAAACGTTTATCTTCTAAGTCTATATATTGTTTTGGTCCTAGAATACCAATAGAAATTATATGATGACGAGAAAATGAATGATTAAAAAATTTAAATTAATAATTAAAATTAATAATAAAAAATAAAACTTTTAGTAAATAAATAAAGTTTAATTATTTATTACCCTGTTATTTGTATTTTAACCAATTTTGTACACACATAAGTGCCTCTAGAGTAAATTCATAGAGTTTAGAATGATGAGAACTCAAAAATCTACCTCTTGTGTTAATGAAAATTTTGAAATTACAGTTGAAATTGGGATTGTCAAAACATCCTTACCAATTTTTTGCAAAATTGAATACTTGATCCCATTTGTTTTCCATCATCCAAGAATGTGAAAAGTAGCACTTTACAAATCATTTTCTTTCAAGTAGAGCTTTATTTCAAACTTTATTTGTGATTTAATTGTATCATTCATAAATGAGTCATAATCACATAAAAATTACTAATATTTAAATTATCCAAGTTTGACTCATTGACATTTACTTGTGAAGTGAAGTTGAACTTTTCATTGTTCCCTTAGTTTTAGTTTGATACTCTTCAAATTAATAATAAGTAGCATAATTTTTTGATATTATTAATTTCAATAAAAGATGAGCTACCATAAAACTTTAGAAAAAAAAAATACTTCAATACTTCAACTTGTATCTTGAATCTAAAATAATAATATTATTGTATCTGTCTAAGGGCACACTCGTAATCTTCTGGTAATTGGAGGGCCGAACGGGAGCTCCGAGTAGATGCTTTAAAGGGGCGAGGTACCTGCAAAAGGCATTCCGACGCTCAAGTCAGGACAAACACGATTCTTGAGTGACATACCTCGTTTTACGTGACCTATTTATACTACCTGTGATGGGCCTTGAACATAGTGGGCCTCTGAAAAATTTCTGACAGAAAATTTTGTTAGAAATGGAAATTTTCGACGGAATTTTTTGATGGAATTTCCATTTATGACGGATTGTTTTTTTCGATGCCACTTTTTCCAACGAATTTAAATCCGTCGGAAAAAACAAAATTCGTCGAAAATTTACCCTTTTTCGTCAGAAATTTCCGTCGGAAATTAGCATTTTTCTTGTAGTGTAGGTTTGAGATCATTTGGATGAGTATAACTCTCTGTGTATCATTTGCTTTGACAGTTGTTGAAGGGAGGTGTATGTTGTCATGATGTTTTTTAGTTGTTAGGCATAACAAAGATAAAAATTGATTTGGATATGATGTTCTGAGGTGTTGTCATTGAGAGGTTGTTTAAGATGGTATGATGCTATGTGGTAAGGCTGGTTCATGTACATGCTATATGGTGTAAACGGTGATTGATTTGTACATGCTTAGAGATGATATATATGATGGTTTAAAGTAGGTATTCTAATATGATTTGATATGCATGTATGTTGATATGAGGATAGATGACCTTATGGATCAATTAGCGAGTGTTTATGTGTTTAGTAAGATTGACCTTAGGGTATGCTATCATTATATTGGAGATGAGGATGAAGATGTATCCAAGATAGTTTTATGTAGTTATCTAAGTATGATTTTTGGTTATATGAAGTGAGTTTTCTAGGCCCTGTAATTCTAGTGGAGGTATAATGTAGATCTATCTATGGTGGAAGTTGTGCTTAAGTGGGAGATACTTAAGTCAATTAGTGAGGTTAAGAGTTTTCTTAGATTAGCTTATTATTATGGGAGGTTATTGAGGAAATTTCTAAGACATTACCTTTGACTAGATTGACTAGGAAGAGTGTTGTCTTTGTGTGGGATAGTAAGTACGAGAGTAGTTTCCAAAATCTTATCGAAAGATTGACTAGTGTTAATACTACTAGATTTTAGTAAGTCTTTTGTGGTATATAGTTGTGCTTCTAAGATGAGTTTGGGTGGAGTGTTGATGCAAGAAGGAAAGGTAATAGCTTAAGTTTCTAGGAAATTGAAAATTCATGAGAGGAATTTCCTTACCCATGACCTTGAGTTAGCGGTTGTAATATTTACACTAAGATTTGGAGATGCTACCTATATGATTCTAAGCTTGAGGTATTTAGTGATCATAAGAGCCTTAATTATCTTTTGACCAAAGGAGTTGAATATGAGACAAAGGAGATAGTTAGAATTTCTTAAGGAATAAGATTTTGATCTTATTTGTTATTTGGGCAAAGCCAATGTGGTGGTCGATGTTTTGAGTAGCAAATCTCTACATTTATCTTCCTTTATGATTAAAGAGTTGAACTTTTTGGCTTGGTCTAAGGATTTAGGTTTGACTTGTGAGATTACTCCTAATAATGGCTTTGCAACACATTTTTGGGTCCCTTAACAATTGAACTAACATTTTCTCTCTACAGAGAAGTTGTAGAACTATCTTTTATCTTTCCATAGACACCTAGAAAGTTCAATTTCAATGTTGAGAGCTTCAGATATGGCCTACACAAGAATAGAGTGTAAAAGTGGGTAAAAATTTGAAAATTAAATAAAAATGACAATAATCATCAAACAACATCACTACCATAAATCTAAGTCGAAACATGAATATACGACACATACAAAGGTCAAAAAGACCAAATAAATACATACAAAGTTGCTTCCCAAAATGCACTATCATTCTTGTTCTCCAAGTTTTGAAGTGCATACATAAAAATAGAGGTGTAAAAGGGATTTTATTATAAAATTCTTTTTAAAAATTCTAATTTCTCTTTAACTTTAGTTAAAACATATTAACCACAGTTATCTCAAAAATCTCTTTCACTAATCCTGAAAATCTATTCTCGTATTTAATAAAATATTATAATATCTTTTAATAAAATATCATATAATATATTTTAAAATATATTACATATATAATTAAAACAAATATTAAATAACTCCTAATTAATAAAATAAAAATATCAAAACTATTAATAAAATACTTATATTATATTTTATGAAAAACAAGATATTACAAATATAATTTTTGTTTAAAACATTGTTAATTATTTTATAAAAACATTTTTAGACTCTTAAAATTATTTTCAAAGTTCAACAAAGGAGATAATCACCATGCACATCTAATCACGCAACAATCATGCATTTAAACGTTATAATACAAATTTACATTTAAGTGATATTTTATTATCATCAAAAAAATGAAATTTTGTCACTTGTACAGGAGTCATAATAACTTTTAAAGAAGGTGTGCTATTCACATATTTTGTTGTAGGAGAAAGTTCCATAAAATTTATAAAACTCATTTCTATCATCTTTATATATATCCTTTCAACTACTTTTGTAATGTTATTAAATTTGTCATTAATTAAAATTATTTTTTAAAATTATCCTTAACATTTTTTTAAAAAGCAATCATCTTTCTTTTAATTTCATTATTTTTTAATTGGTTAATTAATATTTTGGAAAGATAATATTATTTAATTATTTGATAACTAGCAGTGTTAAAATAGGTCGGATTGACCTGACCTAACCTGACTTACATTGACCAAGTGTTATTTTAGGTTAAGTTGATTTGATATATATTTTTTTTGGTCTACCATTTTATGGTCCAACTTGACCATGTTGGGCGCCATCAGTGTCAAATTGGCCTAATTAAAAAGTACATTTTAAAAATTAAATATATAATTTTTACAATAAGAAAAATTATAACATGATTAATTGATATTATATACCATCATGAATCACCTAATAGTTTTACATGTATACAATTTTTAACAACCATTGTATTTGCACGTATCCATTCTATCATCAACTAGACTAACATTTTCATAATAATTTCATGGTTCAGAGGTATTAGGCTTAGTTTTATTAATCCTTTTAGTATCTTGCTCTTGGTCATTAATATCCTTACTCTTGATTTTATTATCAATAGTAGTAACCAAAGGATTAGTAACAAAAATAGGCTCTCTCTTTGTGTTAGGCGGAATTTCCATTGTATATAAATCATCCTCTATAAAAAAAATGTCATCAACATTCATGACTATAATATTCAAAATTAAACAAGTTTACTCATTTAGTTCACAATTTCCACAATAGGTTATAAAGCAACAAGTCAATATAATTCTTAGTTCAAATCACAAAAAAAACAATAACAATCAAAATTTAGTTCACAATTCTCAATTCACACAACACAAGTCTTAAAAATATACTCGGTATTTGGTTAGAATTGGAACCAGAGGACAACACCAATAATAAGTAATAAAGCAACAAATGATATTGTGACTCTATGAGCACAAACATGAGCATAATCATATCTTTGTCTTCTTCGACAAACCTAACAGAGATGATGGATCATGGGGTCAAGCTATTAGGGTGAAATTAACGGAAGTAGGAAACTCTCACAACAGTTAACTCCTAACTCTAAACTTATACCCATAACTTTTAAGCAAACACAAAGTGAAAGACTATTTATATTATTTTAAAATACATTATAGATTTACATATTTATGGTAGTTTTGATTATTCTATTTATTAATTTAATGGATCAGCTCGTAAGCCTACAAGCTAACTTGACCTAAACTCATTTGGCCTTACAGATTTAGTGGGATGGGACAAAATGACCTAATTCTATTTAAGTAATATTTTTTAAGATTCAACTTAACTTTTTTTTGTGAGTTGATTAAATTGACCCATCAAATTAGACTCAAATTGACAACTCTAATAACTATGTGTACACATTTTTTTAAACCAAACAAGAAAGACAAAAATTTCTAACATTTATTATTTTTTATCTAAAAAAATACTGATTAGTATTATAATAGACATTTTGTAAAACAGAACAAGCATTAGATTGGTTATATACCGGAAAGAAGATTGTAAAATGATGATATAAGAATCAAGAAGTTAAATGTGTGGATAAGAAATTTCCCTCTTAATATTCATTCAGTGAGTAATTTGGTACATGAGACTTTATTATTAATTGATAATTAAGTAAGATTCTAAACCACCGAAAAAAGAACCCCATTAATACACCTTTCCAATGATCACAGGCTGCGGAGGAGAATGCCTTCAAAAGTAATTCCAGGACCAAATGCCAGCCCCAAGCCCCATTCCTCTCCACCTTCTTTAAGATACTCCCTCATGTACTCCATCACATAAAATATAGTGTTGCTGCTAACATTCCCATAGTCCATCAGTGCCTTCCTACTGCACTCAAGCTTCTCACTGCTCAACTTGAGGGTACTCTCAAGCCTGTTGAGAATTGCTGGCCCACCGGGGTGCACAGCCCAGAACAAATCATTGAACTCCTTCACAGTGCTTTGGGCCATGAGCTTCCTGCAGAACTCCTCTATGTTGTCCTCAATTTTCTGAGGAAGGTCCCTCCCAAGTTTGAAGTTTATGCCCTCTTCAGAGAGCCTCCCATCAATGACATGGTGTGTATCAGGCAGAAACTTCTGCACAGCATAGCTTAACTCCATGAAGGGAGACTCTTGACCCATCACAGGGTTGGCTCCAACTATCACTGCTGCAGCACCATCACCAAAGAGTGCAGCCCCAACAAGGTCATAAGGCCTGGCCTTGTTGGGGGGCCTAAACCCTAGAATGGTGGTCTCAGAAGTGGTGAGAAGAACCCTGCTCCCAGGGTTGTTCTCCGCTATGTCCTTGGCCACTCTCAGGCCGGTGACGCCGCCGTAGCAGCCGAGAAAGTAGAGCATTACACGGCCGACGTCGCGCCGGAGGCCGAGCTCGTTGGCCAGGTAGAGGTCTCCTCCTGGCAGGCGGATTTCGCTTGAGGAAACATAGACAACGTGTGTGATGTCTTGAGCAGGCCTTCCCCATTCCTTGATGCACGAGAGGCTGGCCTTGGTGGCCATTTCTACCACTGCTGGATTGGCTATTTCGAGCTTCTGCTTTATGGTTGGTGAGCCCTCTGTGGCCAGCTCTGGGAACTTGTCCAGGATCTCCTTTGACATCACTGTGTACCTTGTCTTCACAGTGGTGTTTTTACCTGGGACATGGCAAGTGAAGAAACAAAATATTGCAGTTTAGTTAGTAATAGTTTTGTTAATGATTTATATTATCCATCTTTTTGTTAGATTTAGATTATGCATGTATTAATCTCCTGCGCTCACATCCACAATATATTTAGTAGAAAATTTTGTATCTGATTTTTATCGTAAACGAAAACTCTTAAAATTAATAACAACTATAGTACTACAAAGATAATTAGTAACTGACTTAGTAGACTAAAACATACTCGTAACAGGAGAAAAAAAAATCATGCATATATTTGTTAGTATTTGATCATGGGAGTGCCAAGTGCATATTGTACTCTCATGGTTTTTAGTTGCAGTAGTAGTTACAGTTGCAAAGACTTCCAAACCCTTAATATTGCAAAAAATTACCAACAAATGCAGCTGATGTAACTGCAGTTGGAGTTGCGATACAATAACAGATTATATATATATATATATATATATCCAAAACCTTAATAATTGATACAGTAGCAATTGTGGTAGTAGACCACAACTTGGGATTTTCTTTCACTGTTTAAAACACTTGTAGAGCCAATTCTGCAGTCATTGGGGGAGAATGGTAGAAGGGTTAATATTTTATGAGAAATTAGAAAGTAAATGATTAATTGCACTTACAAAGACGCTCCAATTTCTCCTTTATATATGAATCTTCACACTTGGTGTCACGAATGTAGCCCTCCACCAAACACTCCTGAGGGATGATTTGGCTAGGGAAGGCCTTTCCTATAGCAAGTATTGTGGCCTTCCCTGGCGTAGGAACACGCCTAGTGAGTGCAGCATGCTGCTTGGAACTACCATTGGAATCACCTTGTGGCATCTTTAATTTCTGAGATTTAGGCGCAAATGCTGTAGAGAGAATGAAGACTCACACATAGAATTCAGGAGTTATCGGATTATATAAATGGGAGCATGGACTGCTATGGAAAAGAGGTTGGTGTGAAGCAAGTCTAGCATGTTGTGAGAAATTGTTACCTTAGTGGTGTTCGGTGACTTTTTTGTGTTCATGGTTTAGATGTGTGGGGGGTTTCACAGGTCAACAATCTTTTACTTTCTTAGTTTAGCACCCAATCCATTTCTAATTTAATTTGACCATATTAAGTGTGACTGTTACATGACATAGTACTACATTAAAGTAGGTGGGGGAGGTAATACTCACCTATAGAGTTATCGGTACTTTGGTTGTTCAGGGGAGGGATTGTTTCAGATTTCGACAAACAAAGATTAACATCGACAGCTTTATCCCACTTGATTCAGATTTGAAAAAATATCCAGGTTAAAGAGAAACTGCATTGCAGGCTACCGTTATAAAAAGTGAATTTAAAAGTGTTGATTAAAAATATGTTTGTTTTTGTACCAACAATAATTTACTTGCTTCAAGGTTCTTTCCGTGAAAAATCACTTTCAAGTTTGAAAAATTCACTTTTGAAAATTTTTAATACATGTAAAGTGAAAATCAACCATCAATTTATGAGTATTTCCATTATTTTGATAAATTTACAAGAATTGTAACTATAAGTATCTTTTAACTTAGTTACTCACCAGTTGATTCACCCTTCTTTTACACAGAATATTTGTTAGAGTTAATCACCTATACACTGTCAGTGTAAAGTTTTTTTATATTGATAACTAATTATATCTTTTAATTGTATTATGTCACTGATAAAAGTAAATGTGTTTACAATGACACGACACAATTAAAAGATATAATTGGTTGTCAGTGTAAAAAAACTTTACACTGACAGTATATAGGTGATTAACTATATTTTTTATATGTATATTTTGACAATAACATATTATTAAATATATTTTTATTATTTAGTTTAAAAAATAATGCAATTATCTACTACATTAATATTAAAATATGCTTAAGTAAAAAAAATTAAAATATGCTCATATAAAAGTAAGTAAATAAAAAAGATGCATACCATAATTTTTTTTTTTTTACATAAAAGTAAGTGAATTTCTAAAAAAGATTGAAATTTTTTTAATTTTATTAATTTGTTATTATTTTTTAAATATTATGTCATTTTTTAATTATTAATATTTTTATGTGAATTTTATAATTACTTTTACTTTAAAATTACAATAATTTAAAATTAATGTAATTAATATTTTATGATGTTGTTACCATTTCTTAAATTATTATATCATATAATTAATATAATTTTAATTTTAATTTATAAAATTTGTATATGAAAACTTATTAGAATACATTTTTAGAGAAAAAATTGTTGTAGAAGTTGTTTCCTTTATATATATAGAGAGACGATGGATCAAATGACTTTAAGAGTGTAACTCTTGATAAAAATTGAAAATTATATGATATTTCGTTACATAAACTCAAATTAACGTATAAAATGTGTTTTTGATTGTTCATCAATTTAAATTAATAAAATGAAGTATCAAATAATATTTTAATTTTTTTTAAATTTATAGACTTGATCTATAAATTAAATTTTTTTAATTTGACGATTTGATCATTAAAATTCAACATACATAATCAGTTATTAAATAGAGTAACTTTATAAAAAGTTACTCTTAGAATCATTTGATCTCTCTTTATATATAAAATATATGTGTGCATTGTAGAGAATTTTCATCTCTAAGTCAAATCATAGTTATTAAAATATTCATGTATATATAAATTAATTTAAGAGGGACAACTTATGTTCACTAACGCAAGAAGATAATTTTATCCAAAAAGCAATTTATATTTCTTATATCATATTTCAAATATTATAAATAAATAACTACAAAGATAAAAGAAAAGAGTAGGTGAAGATGTGAATGTTAAATTTAAAATTGCAAATCATTTTAAAATTAATTTAATTAAAGTTTATCATGCCTAATGTGGTATTATATTATATAATTAATAAAAAAATTTAATTTTAATTTATAAAATTTGTATGTGAAAATTTCTTAGAGGAAAATTTTGAATACTATGTTAGAAAGATAATATATATTTTTTTCTCTTAAAAGTTTTTTAATATAATTTTATTAATGCGATTTTTTAATATCGTGCCATTTTTTAACAATAACTGTTCAGGTATGCCTAAAAAATCTCACACCTCTTAGGAGTCGAGGCTCAGGGTAGTTTATAAACACCCTCCCTCCTTAAGTCACTGAGACGTTTTTTAAAGGACAAAATCGTGACGGACCAACGAGTGCCAAAGTGAACGATACCTCGGATGCGGTGACCCTAATGATGACAACAAACTTATGGTAGGAACATTGGCGCTAGAAGGAGGGCCTACGTCACTCTTGCCCCTTAGCATCGATTGGGGGGCTTGTTCCGGTCCTAAAAAGTCCCACATCGCTTAGGAGTCGAAGTTAAGGGTAATTTATAAACACTTTCCCTCCTTAACCCATCGATGCACCTTTTAAAGGATAAAATCGTAACGGCTCAACAAGCGTCAAAGTGAACAATACCTCGGATGCAGTGATCCTAATGATGACAACAGACTTATGGTAGGAACAATAATAAATATTTTTAATAATAAGTTTTATGTGAATTTTATTATTTTTTACTTTAAAACTACAATATTTTAAAATAATATCATTAATGTTTTATGATATTGTTATTGTTTCTATATTAATATTATTTTGTAGTTCTTTTTTCTATAATTATGCAAGTATTTCTAATTGAATTGATTTCATTTTCTATATTAATATTATGTCAAAATATTTACATTAAAAATCATTACTATTTTTTAACATGTTTTATTATTTATAAAATAATAATTAACATAATTATTAATAATTTTAAACTTATATTTGGATTTGGTTTGAGATGTCCCTGATTTAAGGTTAAAGTCATGACCACTTTTGTCAGATGGAAGTCTTCTAAGCTTTAAGAGCATGTTCATTTTAGAATATTCATCAACAAACTTAGCTAGATCCTTCCTGAACTATAGGTTTTCAACTTCCAATGCTATAATCTTAGGTGGAATGAAGTTGGCGATCTTGTCTTTGAGAGATTTTATCTCTCTTACTACGTCTGATATGTTTTTCCTCAGTTCAAGATTTTCTTTTAAAAAATCTTGAGTTTTTCCTTTAATTTCTTATACTTGAGGGAGATCATGTGAGAGTTAGCCAAGAGAGTCTTATAGGACATCTTATCATCATTTAATCTAGAAGAATATGAGCTTGAGTCTACTATTACCTCTATATCACTAGTGTCTAACTTAACATCTGCCATGAGGCATATGTTGGCCTTCTTATTGTCTGAATTGTTGCTACTATTACTATTCAGATTTTCCAGGTGGCCATAAGACTCCTCTTTGCCTTCTTTTTGGAAGACCACCTTTTTCTTTGAGTAGGGCAGTCAACCTTCATGTGACCAAGTTTCTTGCATTTGTAGCAGACAACCTCCTTGTTGTAAGTCTAGCTTGGCTTCTTGAATCTTTCCTTCCTTTTTGTGAAAGTTTTTCACTCTTCCTTTCTTCTTTATCATGTCCTTGAAATTTTTAGACATGAGAGATATCTCAACATCTGTCAACATATGTCGAGTTCTCAAAACTTTCATGGTGCTAGACTTAGATTCCACTTTCAATGTTTTCCCTTTCTCCCTCATCTTGCTGGCCTCACTACCCTTTAAAGAAATAATGTCATTTACATTAGGGTAATCTATACTATTCAATTGAACCTCATAAACTCATAAAGCTCCAACAAATTCATCAAGAGTGAGAACTTTAAGGTCGTGTGCCTCTAAGATAGTTATAGCTTTGGGTTCTCGAATCTTAGGAAGACTATTTAAGATCTTGAGATTATTCCGAGCTTTGGAGAACTCGGTTCCCAGAGATTTTAACCCATTCAAAAAAATTTGGAATCTTCCAAACACTTTGTCTATGGACTTGCTATCCTTCATGGAGAACAAGTCATAGTGTCTCTAAAGTATAGTAGTTCGTTTGAGCCTTACATCTTCAATACCCTTATGAGTTACCCTAATGGCATCCGATATTTCCTTGGCTACTGAGCAACTACAAGACTTGTTATACTCCATTCTGGACAAGGAGAAAGCAAGAATGTATCTTGCTTTGGTGTTGAGCTACAATGTGTTATAGTCATTATAAGTGTATTTGTTCTCAATTTTGGTGACATCAACATCACCTTGAGTGGATTTAATGAACATTTCCATTCGATCCTTTCAATATGGGTAGTCCTCTCCATTAAAGGTATAAGGCCTTGTGAGAGAGACTCATTTTGGTAAGTACTATCCTTCACTATTTCCCATAGTAGAATTTTTTTTCCTTCAGTACAATTAAATGCTCAACCCCATCAAAGTTTGAGCTTTGATACCAAATTATGGATAGAAAATAAACACTAGAAGGTGGGGTTGAATAGTGTGTATCAAAAACTCACACATTTTTCTTAGTGAAGTAGTAATGGTAGTCAAATGGAATATTAGATATTTTTATATTGGTTTGTCTCAACCACCAAGACTACATCCAGTTCTTAATCCAACTAGATTGAGTCCCATTATATTTAAATAAAGATACAAGTATTCTTTCAACAAGCCACTTTTGGCTCAACCCTAAGTATTTTTTGACTTGTCTCTTCAAGAAAATATCTAAATATTCTTTTAACAACAAGTCTCTCTGAGCTTAACAATCAAATATTCTTTTATAGTCAAGTCTCTCCAGGTTCAAAATAAGTATTCTTTTTAGACAAGCTTCTCTAGGCTTAACAACCAAATATTTTTTTACAGTCAAGTCTCTTTAGGCTCAAAAAAAATATTCTTTTTCTAACAAGTCACTCTGGCTCAACCTTATAAAAATGGCTATGAAGGTTACACAAATGTTCTGTTCATGTCACTTAGACATTATACAACTAGTATAAAGTAGTAAGTTTTTTACAAGAAAGAATAAATTTATAGT